GGACAGGAGCTAGAATACTAAATGAACAGTGACTGGAATTGATGAAATCCAGCAAAGATATTTTTTAATGCACTGAAAGAATGAGGATGAGCTAATGAGAAACTAAGAAAAGAAAGAAGTAAGAAAATGTGCTCCTAGACATGGTCCCACATTTAACAAATCATTTTTCACTCCTGCTCCAATGTATGCAGAGAAGAAACAATCGCTATAGAAAGGAGACAAGAAGAGCCATGAAGCATCTCCTATCACTACTTGCAAGAAGAAATTCTATATTCTCACAATTCCTAAATTTTACTCAGCACTCCAATGGTTACCTACCTAGCTTGACAACTATTTTACATTTCTTCCTTAGCTTACTTTGGTTTTTCTCGCTAATCTCATCATAAGTGAGCAAATTGTTTTAGCAGAAATCAAGAGAAGTAAGATTTGATCATTTCCACGTTCATTAGTTTACGTTCAAGGTAGGTGCAGATGATGCTAATTATTTTTTAATTAGTAAATGTTGGATATGGCAGGGCACTGTGGTAGGTATCACCACTGGGTTCTCATATTAGTTCTGCTAATAACTAGCAGTTGTTTAATCTCTGATCTTTGTTTTCTTCATCTACAAAATATGGGAACTGAATTATAAAATCCTTTATATCCTTTGCAATTCCCAAATACTGGGTTTTAATTTTGTCTGACACCTCTAAAATAATTTAGACCACTAAGGGATTCTCCCTTCATTAGAAGGCTAAATAGTAGCATGATTAAGTTACATAGTAACTAGTCTTTTTTTTTAATTAGAGAGTAAAGATAATTTGGGGAGACAGTGAGAGAGAATGTTTTAAAAGGAGGTGAAAAACAATGAAATAAAAAAGAAAAGCTAGAGGGAGAAAAGAAAGTCAAATAACTAAAAATCTGCATTAAAACACAAAGTTTTCTATACTGCAGAAATTCTATTTAACATTGCAATGAAATTTTTGTATTCCAACTGACATTTTTTTCTGTCTAGAAGTAACTCTCAGGAACAAAGGGATTACTGTCTTTACTAAATAACACATCAAGTCCATGTAGTAGCTTGTGGAGGGAATTAACACAAAATATTATCAATATGGAAGTAGTATGTTTCACAAAGGAAAAAATATTTATAAACTTTTTGAAAACCACAATGACACCATCTTAAGGTACTAATTCTTAAACACTTCCAAATAACTTAAAATGCTGCAGTTGTAAATTCATCGAAAAGAACAATTATTGAAAACATCAGCTGACATTAACTTCACTCATTTGCTATTGTTACTTTCTTGATTTCCTTATGGGAAATAAAATATCCATACTTTAAATTTATTTAAATGAACTATATTTCCAAATTTATTTAAATAATTAACCAGAAACTATTCCTTGCTAAGTATTTTCAAGTTGACTTTGCATAATGGCAAACATGGGTTTCCTGCCTTCAGATGATTTGCTAGTAGTTTCCCTGGAGCTCTAGTGCCAGCGCGAGTGTGAGTCACTCAGTCATGTCTGACTCTGCGACTCCATGGACTGTAGCCCACCAGGCTCCTCTATCCATGGACTTCTCCAGTACTTTTGCATAAATTCTAAGATAGCCCTGAGTTTTCTCTGCCCCAGTAAGTCAAATGGTGGCAAAATTCCAGGATAGTAGAAGTAGTTTTGTTTTATTTAATAATCCTACTAAGTCAAAGTATTACAAATAATAAATGTTTACGGGACATCTAACCTAGTGAATCTATTGTAGATTGTCATTTTAAAATAAAAGCTGATTTTGAAGTCTTCAGACACTAGAATCAGGTTACTATTTTCATATAATTATGGAAATTTAAAATGCAAAGTTAATTGAAAGTATAAAGATGAGAAGCAAGTGCTATACCTAAAATAGTGCCCAACACAGTCATGTTTCACTTAACTTTCAAGTCAGAATATGAATTAAGAGTTCTAGATGTGACATGCCAAATATTTTAGACAGAATAAAGCACACAACAGAATCTGTACCAATTACATCCTTAAATGCTTAGCTTATAAGGCAACAAGTTCATGCTGAAATATTGACAACAAATGATGTTTCCCTTAGTTTAAGGAAGTGATGCTGCATATAAATTCCATCACCACTTTATACAGTACTGAAATTTCATAAATAGCATTTTCCCAAGCTTCACATTACACCCAAAGCCAAAATATTTGAAAAGAGAAAAGAACACTGACACACTGAGTCTAAGAAGAATATTTTTTTGCTTGTAACAAAATTCAAAAGAAATAAATATTACACAGTAAGACTCTATCAAAAAGAAATGATACAAAGTTTAACAGCATAGGTTATATACAATAAATTTGTCTAATGCTCTAAGCTATATCCTATTTTGTAAGCATTTCCTATTCATAATTATTCTGAGAGTTAAGGTCCTTATCATTTTTGTTAACCTACCCCTTTTCTTTAAAAATATATTTTGGAAATTGAAATATAAGACTATTCAGTTAGGAGGTACAGTTAACAACACAAAAACAAGAAAAATATCTCAAAATGTACAGATTTCTCTAGAGTGAAAGTTGAACCAATAAAATTATGGAATTATGGACACTTTCAAATAGATTATAAAACATAATGTCAAGGAAAACGGGGATTTTAAATCATCTCTTAAAATTAAGTAAGTATAGTCATCCAACATACATGAATAAAAGAGAAAATATTATTCTTGTTTGAAAGTAATACAATCATAGTACATAAATAATTTCATTCTTATATATGCAGAAACAATCTATGAGAAATTAAAGTAACAAGTACAAGCAAGATTACCCCTTCACATAAGCTCTTTTTAGAATCCCTTCCCATATGTACTTTTAAAAATTGATTACATAATTTAGATTGTCTGGAATAACTAAATAAAGATACTTTCTAAATGTGCTCAAATTGGGATTTGTTTTTGAAAACCACCATCACACAGAATTTGAGACACCCTAATTTGTATCATATTTATTTGCCAATTTACTTCCCCCAAACACCCACACCCCTGTTCCTATTCCCAAATTAGACTTCAAAATTCCTGAGAACAGAACCTATCCATCTTTTAATTTCCTTATTGGACCCAAAGTTGTGGCAAGGAAGATATTCTTTAGTGAATGGATAACTGCATGAATGAGAGTGAAAGAATATGCAAACCAGAGCTGTCAGATTCTTGCCTTTGATATCTCATCCTAGTCAAATGAAGATGGGCTCAGTAACATACTTTCATAGTAGAATGAAGTGTAATTACTAGACTGTGCTCTACATAGGTGTATCCTTTAGAACACTGTTACCCAAGCCATGCTTTGTAGAAACTAAAATGCAGGCTAATAAAAGGTTTCCCCTGTTTTATATAAAAAGAGTGCCATTGGTCAAATAATTTGGGAAATCCAGTTTAAAGAAATTCAAGTAACATTTTTTACTGCTAGACTCCACAGAGCACATAATATACTAATATGCAGTATCACTTTCTAAGATCTATCAAAGAATACTTTTGGTCTTTGATCATCTCAGAAGAGCATTCTAGGGAACAGAGTTTAGGAAACAATGTTTTAGAAGAATAAAAACACTCTGAACAATGTTTTAGAATATTTAACATTGCACCATGTTAAATCTTCCTTTGCCAAAGCAGAATTATAGATTTGAAAAAAACATTTAATGTTCCATGTATTATTCAGAATGTTTCACTTCTGTCTCTACAGGAAGTAGAAGCAAAATTATCATGAGCATTCTTCCACACTCATTGCTCATTTTGAAAGGACAAGAGAATATCCTTTACAGTTACTGATAATCCTTAGTTGGGTTTGGTTATTACACTTCATTTAAGTGTTTTCTTAATTTTTCCTCAAAATATCTCCTAGTAACCTCTTCCTCTCTTGTCCTCTTTCTAAATGTGTATGTACCAAGGTAGTAGGGACCTCTGAAATGCCTTAAAAACATCTCTGACAATGGGTTTTTATGACTGATTAATCTCTGGAAGTATTCAGAAAACATTAAAACTATTTAACAAATAGGTTGACTATGGAATTTCCATGAGGAAAATGTCAGTGGATATTGTCCTGAGAGTTCATCCAGGTCCATTACGATTCTGCAAAATAATTTGCCTTCTGTTTGACTAAACCACAAATACCATGAAAGATGTTGTTTCTCCACAGGGAGAAGAAATGCTATAGGAATTAACGGGAAAGTAGGAAGCTAGCTAAACCTACCATGTGGATTATCACAAGATTTGGATCTAACGCCGGCTCTATCACTAGCTGTGTCACTTTGGGACATTTCTCAATGATTCAAAATGTCAGGGCTCTCATGTGAAAATAAGAGAAAGTAACAATCTTAGTGACTTTCAGATTGTTTGTCTCAGGGGCTGCTGTGGTTGTGCATTATGAAGAGTAGGAGGACAGGGAAGGAGAAACCAAGTAAGGGATCTGATCTCACTTCCATCTTCCGATCAAGCAGTTCTACTTTTACGTATTTTGTGTCCTAAACTTCAGAGCACTGTTTAATTTTTTAAAGGCCCTATTCATTTAAAAAAATAGAAAAAAACATAGATTATATAATTAACATTTTGTTTATATATAATATGTTCCAGTTCACATTTTTAATGAAAAGTTTTCATCTTGGGGGAAAAAAAAAATGGGCTTTTATATTTTTTTTATTCATTCATGTGATCCTGATTCAAGTAAAATAAAACCTTAATAACTTTTATTACTTTATATAGCTTATTTTACACATTTGTAATATGTTCCTTAAATAAAAAGATGAGCTGATGTGTTCCTTTTCAAAATAAAATTAAAGACAACATGGGGAGTAGATGACATCAACTCCAGCCCACACTTACTTTAGTTATTTTTTCATGGTGCCTTTGGGCACTTAAATACTGCACTGCATTATCTTTGAGGTAGAACAAAACAAGGACAAAACAAAGGCAAAAAATTCACATAAAAAGGGAAAATGAGAAAGAAAGTTGTGAGATTATTTCTTTTTAACATGATTTTCATCATCAGGCTTTGCAGTCTTCTTTGACACAAAGTTGAGATATAGTCTTCTTAATCCGAAGAGCAGTTAGTCGTGCTGCCCCATTAGCATACCAACACTCGCGCATTATTCTCCCCATGACTCGGAGTGCCTCAAGAGAAAAAAAATCAAAATCTTTAGCACAAACAACAGTACAAGAGAAGAAAAATCACAAACACAGGAATTGATGCTAAGCTCTGATATAAAAATAGTAAGTTTAAATCAATAGGAGAAGGAGATCAGGGTCAAATTACCTCAAAAATCCTGTCCAGGGTATCTCCCCTCAGACAGACACCAGGGTGTCTCCGCTCAGACAGAGATCAGTCTCCTCTGAGACAAGGATCACGTGGTAACCAGAAGAGAGGACCAGTCTTCTCTCAAACAAGATTCAAGGCACCTCTCCTTAGAAAAATATTAGAGCATCTCCTCTCAGACAGAAACCAGGGTGATTTCTTTCAGAAAAAAGACCAGGGCAACTCCCTTCAGAAAGGCATCAGAGTGTCTCCCCTCAGAAAAGAACTAAGGCTTCCTTGCTGGTCTAGTGGTTAAGAAGCTGTCTGCTAATGCAGGAGTCATGGGTTCAATCCCTGGTCCGGGAAGCTCCCAGATGCTGGAGGACCTAAGCCTGGGTACCACACTACTGAGCCTGCACTCTAGAGCCCTCAAGCTGCAATGACTGAAGCCTGTGACCTACAGTTGGTGCTCTGCAACAAGAGAAGATGTCACCACAACGAGAAGCCCACGTACTGCAACGAAGAGTAGCCCCGGCTCATGGCAACTAGAGAAAGCCCAAGCACAGCAATGAAGACCCCGTGCTGACAATAATAAACAAATAAATCTGAAACAAAACAAAAACCAGAAACTAGAGCATTTCCCCAGAGACAGAGACCAGGGTCCTCCTCCATAAAAAGATCAGCATGTCTCCCCTTGACAGAGACCAGAGGGATTTCATTTAAAAAAAGACCAGAGCTCTACCTTCAGACAGAGACCAAAGTGTCTCCCCTCAGACAAGGACCTTCTCCTTTCAGGCAGAGACCAGGACAACTTTTCTCAGAAAAAGACCAGAGTGTCCCTCCTCAGAAAGGCACCAGAGCATTTTTCCATACAGCCAGCAAGGTGTCCATTCTCAGGGACCAGGGAGTCTCCTCTCAGACAAGGAAAAAGGCAGCTATCCTCAAACAGAGAGCAGGACATCTCCCCTCTGAAATGAACCAGGGCATCTACCTTGAACAGAGACGGGCATCTCCTCTCAGAGGAACCAGAGCATCTCCTCACCAAAAGAGATCAAGATAACTGACAAAAAGACTAGGGCATTTCCCCTCCAAGAAAAAGGTTTGTCCCCTCAGACAGAGACCTGTGTGTCCCCTCTCAGAAAGGGACCAGAGTGTCTGCCCTCAGACAAGGACCAGGGCATCTCCCCTCAGAAAGGGGCCCCAACAACTTCTCTCACAGACTAGGGCTTTCCCTTCAGACAGAGACCAGAGCATCTCCCCCTAGATAAGGACCATGGCATCCCAGACAGAGAATGACCAGGACAATTTCTTTCAGAGAAAGTTCAAGATGCTTCCCCTCGGCCAGAGACCTGCATGCCCTCCTCAGCCAGTGTTTAGGATGTCTCCCCTGTGACAGAGATCAGGGTGTCTCTTCTCAGAAAGGGACCAGGGTGTCTCCTCTCAGAAAGGGACTAGAGTGTCTCCCCTCAGACAGACACCAGGGAGACTTCTATCATATAAAGACTGGAGCTCTCCCCTAGACAGAGGGAGGGCCTCTTTTCAGACAGAGACCTGGGGGTCTCCCCTATGACAGAGACCAGGTCATCTCCCCTCAGAAAGAGACCTGTCATCTTCCCTCAGACAGTATCCACAGTGTCTCCCCTATGACAAGAACTGTGTGACTTCTCTCAGAAAAAGACCAGGGTATCTCCTCTCATAAAGGGGCCAGGAGGTCTGCTCTGCACTCAGGCAGAGTGCATGGCCCATTGCTTGCTAGATGGTTTGCAGCTATCATTTGTGGACCTTGAAGGTAGCTATAGGAGATGATAGGGAGCCTTTGTTCAATGGCATTTTGGTTTATGGAATTACACTATTATATTTAAGGGCATATTTGATTAGCATAAGGTGAAATGAAGATCAGTTTCATTTTTTTAATCTTTTCTGTAGAGATTAGTGTTTATTTGGCTTCCACATACTATGTTAAACAAAATTTTAGGAAAGAGAATATGGTCACCTTATACTATATCCTTTTAGAGTAAGTGAAATCAATTGAATATTCTTTATCTTCTTGAGAATATCAATAATCATTAAAATGCAATTAATATTTTCATGCATTTTATGTATGCATTTTATGAAAATTTTCCTGTTCCTTCAAGCTGCATAAAAATAATATGCTTTCAATTAAGAAATTACATACATTATATATAAAATAGCTAACAATTTCTACCCTTGGGCTTTCAGAGCATATAAGCTTTCTTTAAAACCTTTGTAGTGAAATTAATACCATGACCTGACAGCACCACCCATCAACAGAAAATTGAATTAAAGATTTACTGAGCATGGCCCTGCCCATCAGAACAAGACCCAGTGTCCCCCTCAGTCAGTCTCTGTCATCAGGAAGCTTCCATAAGCCTCTTATCCTCCTCCATCAGAGGGCAGACAGATGGAAAACCACAGTCACAGAAAACTAACCAATCTGATCACATGGACCACAGTCTTGTCTAACTCAATGAAACTATGAGCCATGCCATGTAGGGTCATGATGGAGAGTTCTGACAAAACGTGGTCCACTGGAGAAGGGAATGGCAAACCACTTCATATTCTTGCTTTGAGAATCCCATGAACAGTATGAAAAGGCAAAAAGATAGGACATTGAAAGATGAACTCCCCAGGTCAGTAGGTGCCCAAAATGCTACTGGATATCAGTGGGGAAATAACTCCAGAAAGAATGAAGAGACAGAAGCAAAGCAAAAATAACACCCATTTGTGGATGTGACTGGTTATGGAAATAAAGTCCGGTGCTGTAAAGAGCAATATTGCATAGGAACCTGGAATGTTAGGTCCGTGAATCAAGGCAAAGTGGAAATGGTCATGCAGGAGATGGCAAGAGTGAACATCGACATTTTAGGAATCAGCAAACTAAAATGGACTGGAGTGGGTGAATTTAACTCAGTTGACCATTATATCTACTACCGTGGGCAAGAATCCCTTAGAAAAAATAGAGTAGCCATCATAGTCAAAAAAGAGTCCGAAAGGCAGTACCTAGATGCAATCTCAAAAATGACAGAATGATCTCTGTTTCCAAGGCAAACCTTCAATATCACAGTAATCCAAGGCTATGCCCCAAACAGTAATGCTGAAGAAGCTGAAGTTGAACGGTTCTAGGTAGACCTACAAGACCTTCTAAAACTAATACCCCAAAAACATATCCTTTTCATTATAGGGGACTGGAAAGCAAAGGTAGGAAGTCAAGAGATACCTGGAGAGTAACAGGCAAATTTGGAGTACAAAATGAAGTAGGGCAAAGGTTAACAGAGTTTTGCCAAGAGAACACACTGGTCATAGCAAACACCCTCTTCCAGCACCACAAGAGAAGATTCTACACATGGACATCACCAGATGGTTAATACCGAAATCAGATTGATTATAACTTTGCAGCTAAAGATGGAGAAGCTCTATACAGTCAGCAAAAACAAGATCAGGAGCTGACTGTGGCTTAGATCATTAACCCCTTATTGCAAAATTCAGACTTAAATTGAATAAAGTAGGAAAAACCACTAGACCATTCAGGTATGACCTAAATCTGTTGCCCCTACTAAGTCACGTGGGTCATGTCCAACTCTGTGCAACCCATAGACGGCAGCCCATCAGGCCCATCCCTGGGATTCTCCAGGCAAGAACACTGGAGTGGGTTGCCATTTCCGTCTCCAGTGCATGAAGTGAAAAGTGAAAGTGAAGTTGCTCAGTCATGTCCGACTCTTTGTGACCCCATGGACTGTAGGCTACCAGGATCCCCTGTCCATGGGATTTTCCAGGCAAGAGTACTAGAGTGGGTTGCCATTGCCTTCTCCATGACCTAAATCTAATCCTTTATGATTATACAGTGGAAGTGACAAAGAGATTCAAGGGATTAGATCTGATAGACAGAGTGCCTGAAGAACTATGGACAGAGGTTCCTGACATTGTGCAGGAGGCAGCGATCAAGACCCATCCCCAAGAAAAAGAAATGCAAAAAGGCAAAATGGTTGTCTGAGGAGGCCTTACAAATAGCTGTGTAAATAGGAAAAGTAAAAGGCAAAGGATAAAAGGGAAGATATACACATTTGAATGCAGAATTCCAAAGAATAGCAAGGAGAGATAAGAAAGCCTTCCTCAGTGATCAATGCAAAGAAATAGAGGAAAACTATAGAATGGGAAAGACTAGAAATCTCTTCAAGTAAATTAGAGATACCAAGGAAACATTTCATGCAAAGGTGGGTACAATAAAGGGCAGAAATTGTATGGACCTAACAGGAGCAGAGTTTGGGTAAACTCTGGGAGTTGGTGATGAACAGGGAGGCCTGGCATGATGCGGTTCATGGGGTCGCAAAGAGCAGGACACTACTGAGCGACTGAACTGAACTGAACTGAACAGAAGCAGAAGACATTAAGAAGCGATGGCAAGAATACACAGAAGAACTACACAAAAAAGACCTTCATAACCCAGATAACAATGGTGAGATCACTCACCTAGAGCCAGACATCCTGGAATGAGAAGTCAAGTGGGCCTTAGGAAGCATTACTAGGAACAAAGCTAATGGAGATGATGGAATTCCAGTTGAGTCATTTCAAATCTTAAAAGATGATGCTGTGAAAGTGCTGCACTCAATATGCCAGCAAATTTGGAAAACTCAGCAGTGGCCACAGGACTGAAAAAGGTCAGTTTTCATTCCAATCCCAAAGAAAGGCGATGCCAAAGAATGCTCAAACAACTGCACTGCACAATTGTACTCATCTCACACGCTAGCAAAGTAATGCTCAAAATGCTCCAAGCCAGGCTTCAACAGTATGTTAACTGTGAACTTTCAGATGTTCAAGCTGTATTTAGAAAAGGGAGAGGAACCAAAGATCAAATTGCCAA